CTTCGCTTTCCCAAAGCTAACGCGCTGGAATATCCGTCAGCGATCAAAAGTACTGAGAGACTGTGGAACTTAAGTTAGTTCGCCGGAGCCCAAGCGGCATCTGGAGAGCGATGTCTATAGCATAGTAGTGGGAAAGGCACAAGGAGCCATATTGGTTGCCCGGGGCTGTTGACTGCACTAAACAGCGATACATTGTCCCATCTTACTCGCGTGTGGCGATTCACGTCGTCTTCCACCTCCTTTCCGAGTACCGACACATTTTTGTCCCCCTCTCTCTCTCTCCTCTCGAGAAGCATTCAACGCGCCCTCGGACGACTCAAATGCTGGGGAATGGGCAGGGAAAGGAAGGAAAAAAAGTCATGGAACTCCGCCGCTGAGCCTCTGCTCCACTGTATCCTCCGCCATGTCTGGGCAACTCAGCAGCTGCTGTCCGCTGTCAATCAACGCGCCGTCTAAGGCCCGTATATGGAAAATGAGGCGGGGCTACGCGAAATCACGCCTGTTTCTTCAATGGGCGTGAGCGTGACCTCATGTTACGTCGAAATAAAAAAAAAATGACCATAGAGTAACAGTGTAGAAATATTTTAGATTTACATGAGCGTGACCTCATGTTACGTCGAAATAAAAAAAATGACCATAGAGTAGCAGTGTAGAAATATTTTAGATTTACGATAGATGCTGCATTTGATCGAATAGAATTCAAGAATGTTTTTTTTACCCGTCTATTTATCCTCACTGAGATGCTGACTTGAGGCGTTTACTCCGTATCTAAAACACTAATAGATATACTGTACACCATATGTACATTACGAATGATTTGACAAAAACATCTGAAACACTAGTTAAGATGCGCATAAAATAATGTGAAAAAAATAAAATTAGTGACAATTTAAAAAAATACATTATTACAAATATCGATGAGTTTACATCAATAACAAATTTTCCATTAATTTACTATTGCTTAAATGGAACGATTTTAAAGATAATAAAGTTAAAAAAAACAATTTGCAATAACTGACAAATTTAAAACATGATGTTACAAATATATCCTACTTACATACATTAAAACATGTTATTTATGTTCATTATTGATTTAATTAAACATCTAAAAGACTGGTTAAGTTGCACATAAAAATAAACACTAGCTAAAACCTCATAACAGCACATTCACAAATATTCATATTAAAATGTATAGAAGTTAAAACGTTTGAAGCATGAATGATCAATATATATATGAAATAATTCCCTATTTATACAATGTTTACAAATATCCAAATATAAATAAACAAATAACTTATGTACAATTAATTTTATGAAATCATATTTAATAATGGTCAAGTCTATCTATCACATACTATTGATTCAGTGTAACCACATGAAAGAACGGCTACACATATAACCGAAGATGGAATTAACAATGATACATATAGAGTGTATTTATGGTGTTAATGTTGCAAATTAAAAAAAATGGAATGAGCAACAGAGACAAATTAAACATAATACAAACATTCATATATGAATATTTATAAAGTTCATTTACATGTTCATTCATATTATACCACCTAAAAATAATAACTTGATAATATATCCCATAGATAGTAGTTGCACCATGCGTACAGTTAAATAATATGTACCGGTAATCACTTTATTTGTATTTCATGCCATCCAGTTGGACTTTTAATTTGCATGAGACGCTGAACCTTAATCATACGCAAATATTTCATCACGTGTGTTTATATTCAACATTTTGAAGTGTAAAACGCGCAGATTTAAAAAAAAATCCATGCTTACATAATGATGCTGTTGTAGCTTCGGGCGTATGCACCGTGTACCATCTCTATTCAAGCTGCAACATTGCAACCGATTTCCCCGTCTGTGTGTTTTTGTGAGGTGGGGGGGGGGGTGTTTTTAAAAGCTACTTGAGTGCTGACAAATTATATTAGCATTTGTGAAATACAACAGGAAGATGATGGATGCCATCCGCTCTCAAGATTGTTGGCACAGAAGCAGCCGTCTGCAGGCGTTTACCTCTCTCAAAGCGTGACCTTATTCATGCAGGAACTGAATCTCATTGTGACATCTCCAATTCCCTTCTTCTCCTTCTTCCACCCTCCCTCCTCTCAGTCTGCCATGTTGGCTGCACATGCAGCCTGTGCGATGTGCACCCCCTTCAGATGAAAAATTAATAAGGATTCATTCATATCAAAGGGAAGCCGGTCCCCGCTGCAGACACAGATTGGGCACTTGTGTCTGGAGCCTTTTTTTTTTCTTTTTTTTGAGGATACAGAAAACAGACTGATGCCTTTCATTGTTAACATTGTTTGTGTTACCTTTAGATGTTGATTCTCGGCCCTCTGATGATTTACTGAGAGCTTGTTCAACAGATTTTGTGATCAGACAGCTCAGACGAGAGAGAATAATATCAGTAAAACATCAAAAGTGGAACTCAATACATTGACAGTTGTTCTAATTCCATCCATCTTAAGACTTGTGGGCCCCGAATTGAAGTGTTAGCCACGGTTACTCTGAGTCCCACTCTTTCCCTTTGTCGTATGGTGTTCCACAGGGTTCAATTTTGGGGCTCTTGTTGTTATCATTGTATTTACTGCCCCTGGGTTCCACCTGAAGAAACCATGGCATTTCCTTTTCTTGCTATGACAGTCAGATCTGTGCTGCTAAGCCACTTTCTCCTTAGGGCGACTTTTGTCCTGCCTGCCTTTTGGGTTTTTTTTAGTTTGCTTGTTTATAATCTTAAAGTGGCTAAAGTAAACCCGCTCCTTCCACAACAGCACTTAGAAACAGAAACACCTTTTTTTTTGTGTGTTCATGTTTTTTTATGTTATTAATTTGTGTCACCAACAATGGTTTGGTGTGTAAGAATTTTTAACACATTTTACAATAAAATCTTGGTTTAACTCCAAATTGTAACACATTTTGAGACAATTGACTTCAGAGATTCCACTGTCTGTTCTCCATCTGCTCCATAAAGATGCCAACACCTCTTGTAACATGATCTTATAGTATGTAGTTGATGTTCTACAGTGGCTGTTTAACTATGTTTTAAGGGGGTCATAATATTGCTGACATGATGACAAGGACGGACATTGTCAATGTCGTTCGACATCACTCTTTCATGAGAGCATATATCATGCTGAGGGTGTCCCTTGAGCAATAAGATGAGACATCAAATTAAACAACTCAGTTGTTAATTTTTTTTAATTAGGTGTAAATTACCCTTCCTTTTGATTCTTGCAATAGACGGGCGGCAACTGATCATAAGAAAACTTGATTACACAGGCAGAACCAACTCATCGCCTAGCAACCCCGATGGGATGGTGTCTTATCTTGACTAAAATTATGACTGATTATCATCTCAGCACGCCGATAATGTTTTCAAGTTTTCCAAATTCAGCGAGACATCAGGGGGGAAAGGGATTCTCCCAGACATGCTAGATTTGTTAAACATGATGCAAGAAGCTTATAGATGCCATTAACTTCCCCCTCCCCTCACATTGTTATAGATTGTACTATAGCCAGCTAAATGCACCACAAAGTGTAGTCGACAGCATTTTAGGTGAGGCTTATAGGACGCGTTAGGGTGCAGCCACACATACAAGCCCTGAGGAAACCACTTGTTGATTTATATAGTCATTTCTAATAGTAAGAATAATTGGCAGCATCGTTGCCAAATGGTTGGCACGTCTGCCTCAGAGTTCTGACTCAGAATTTAGAACTTCTGAGGTTCGAGCCCTGGCCTTCCTGTGTTGAGTTTGTGTGCTTCCACCTATTAAAAAAAAAAAAAAAAAAAAAAAAACAACAACAACAACAGGCATGTTATTTTCATTGAAGACGCTCAAATTGTCCATGGATGTGATGTAAATGGTCTCTATGTGTCCTGTATTGGCTGGTGACCAGTTCAGGGTTGACCCTGTCCATAGCCCAGTCAGTCAGGATAAGGGCTTGAAAAAAAAAATCGAGGGATAATTAGAATATGACGTCAAAATAATTTACATAACAGGAATCAGGACGTCTACTGATATTATCCATGCCCGTGTGAAAAACTCACTGTACCGAGAATGACTTCAGTATTTTGCTGCCCCCTGATGGCGAGTCAACAAAAGTGGAGCGAACGGACATCGGTCCCATTAAAAAAAAACAAAACAAACACTATACGTTTGAAGATAATTGGTGAAAACAAATTAATGCACTTTGGAGTCCCCCCATGAGTTCCCTTTCCCCACACTATAACAACAACGACAGCAGCTTTTCTAACAACCAGAAGGTGCCCGAACCCAATTCCGAGGAAGGTGGGACGTTGTTTGAACCTCAATAAAAACAGAATACAAGGATTTGCAAACCAGCTTTTTTGAAACGTGTTGCGGCCATAAAATTCTACAATAATTACTTGCTAAAAACAATAAAGTTTATCAATTTGAACATTAAATATCCTGTCTTTGTGCTAAAGTAAATGTTGGTTGAAAAATGATTTGCAAATCATTGTATTGTTTTTATGTTCAACACAAAGTCCTAACTCGATTGGAATTGGGCTTGAATCAGATAGTTCAGTTTCATGGACACGAAGAGTGCCTCGTTGTTGAATGCGAGTATGCGCACATCACCCAGAGGATAGGAGAAAAGCAAGGAGTTTGGAGCCTCTCATTGTTGGTGTGAAGTGCGCACACTTCATGGTGAGAAGGAGCAGAAAGGGAAAAGAAGGCGGAGGGAATAAAAAGATTTGACATAACAGCCAGAGATTCTGTAACCACCGAACAAGCAAGGAGATAGCGTGGCACCTTATATTTCTCACCCTTTGCATGTTCCGGCACTTGTCTTGAAACACCATCTTAACTCAAACACATCAGTCTTGATTCTAGACAACAGTTAGACATACACTAAGAGCAGCAAGAACACGCATGGCCATTTTTTTTGTCATTACTGAAATCAAATATTTAAGTTCAATTTGTATTTTGGATGCAAGTGATTTGGTCAGACAGAAAGCAGTCAGTTGTCAGTGTTTATTTTCTGGGACTTGTGAATATAAAATTCCTGGCAAATGTGTGAACTAAAATGGTTCATGTTCACATGCTCCTAAACCATAAAGCACAACAACAACAAGGAATATGTAAATGCAGACTTGCAATAGAGATTACATCGCAAAGTGTGATATGTTGTGGCACTTGTGCATTTCAATTCAGCATTGTTGAACATTATTAAACTTTTGAAACATGAACCAGATCGGACATATCTGGTCATAAAGGCACATCTATATCTAGCACATTATTGCAACAGCGAATGGGGATCCAATAAACAATTAACAGTATACTTTTAAAAAATACAAAGCTTTTTCTCACATATAATGCATTGGAACTCTCTCCGAAGTTTATATCAACTACTCAGCATGTAAAAAAACAGAACAGCTTTTGTGTACACATTGTATTGCGAGTGGCGATTTGAGGTTACAATACGGTAAACATTGAAGACACTGGCATGGCATGCACTTTTGCAGCGTATGTATATTGCTTTGACAATATAAAGCCAAAACGGATTAATATTGAAGGGACGTGAAATACGATTGCTTCAGTCATTGCCACCACACAGCTTGAGAAGGAGCTTCTTGTAATCTCCTGATGTGTCGCCCTGAAGATGGAGAGATGTTTGAATCCAACACAGTTGCTTTGCCTTTCATTTATCCACATGGTTGCCTAGTTAATTAGCCAATCAAGCTCAGCACGAATACTTACGGAGATGTCCGTGTACAGAGACTTGCCATAGTTTTTCACATATTCCTGGCGGATATCCAGCATGTCGACCTCGGAACGGGACACCATGATTCGGATGAGAGTGGTGTCTTTAGTACCAGCCCCCTAAGCATGCACACATAAAATGAGAATGAGTGAAATCGTCGATTTTCCTTGTATGTGTAGTACGTACAGACTAGTCGACTAATTTAATTTACTACTTCACAATTACGGTTAGAGTATGACGTCAATCACGTTTTTTTGGGCTTAGGGAGGCAGCAAAGTCGCTTGCAGCCTATAAATCTGCTGAAAATATATGATTCTACGGAAAAAATAGGCAAGACATCATCAACTACTCGACTTCGACACGACTTTCATCACATTAGCCGCGACTTAAATAACTCTTAAGTCATGCAACCCTAAATGCGTACACGGACATTCAGAATGAGTCTCACCTTCATGGCCTTGTAAAGCCGTTCAGCAAAGTAGGCTGGTGTATTCTTAATACACTTCACTGGAATAGAAAACATTCACACTTAACACGAAATACTTGTCTTTTAATAGCAACAGGAGATTTATCATGACAAGATGATTTGTGACACCCTTAAAATTATGTATATGGTAACAAAACTGGAATATCATGCAACATGCACACTGCAGAGCTCACAATGAAAATCTATCTGTGAAAACTGGAAAATGGCAGTGGACTGAGTGGAATGAAACACTTTTAATCGGTTACAGTACCATAACCCTGATCGTAGCAAAAACAATAAAAGAAAAAAAAGGTGTGCATTATTCATGTGGAAAATGCTTGACTCTTCATTTTTTTCTTTTGTTTTTTTTGTTTTTTTTTCCCTTACCCACAGCCAACATGCCACTCTCCAAACATGCACACTGCAGAGCTCACAATGAAAATCTATTTGTGAAAACTGGAAAACGGCAGTGGAATGAAACACTTTTAATCGGTTACAGTACCATAACCCTGATCGTAGCAAAAACAATGAAAGAAAAAAAAGGTGGCCATTATTCATGTGGAAAATGCTTGACTCTTCTTTTTTTTTTTTTTTGTTTTTTTTTTTTTCCTTACCCACAGCCAACATGCCGCTCTCCAAGTCTCCTGACATCTCCCTGCTGATGCTCTTTTCGATATCCCTGCCGCACATCTTCTGGTACTCCAGAAAAACTGCACGCAACACAAAAACACATTGAGACAAAGTGATGTTGTTTTAATGTTAAAAGTGATGATCATAATATTATTTCATTTTAGTGGCTACCTGTCGCGAGATGGCTTTTGCTCCTGGCACATAGGATGGCGTTAAATTTGGACTCGTCCGTCCCCAGCTTGTTCTCTCCAGCTGCGTACAGAGCCTAGGAAGAGAAGCAGGAAACGTATTGACATAAATGATGATAAATAGACGGAATATGCATTTGTGTAATTAAGACTCTACCTGAGCATCTTGCTTGGCCAGTGAGAGGTCGACATTTGGTCTTTCATCACGATTACCCTGGAGGGAACGTGGAAAAGGAAAAGACTCAATGAGGTCTCCCTGCACTTGCAGACAAATACTTCCATAGGTTTTGTTCTTGTACCTGCGCAAGGGAGATCAGGAGCCTACGGAAGTGTCCTGAGGTGTCACTGCTGATGGCATCCTCCATAGACTTCTTGTATTCTAAAGTGAGGTGAGAACGTGAACCACACGAGCGCCCGATTGTGGAGTATTTGCATGTCAGCTCACAACCGAAATGTTCCTTGAAAATATGTCTGTTTTACTCGTCCTTGTGCAAGCCACTTCACATCCATCAAAAAGATAAATACAGCAGAAACAAATGTTGCCACATTTGATCATTTTTGGGAGTGTCTGACTTTGGAATTTCCACTGGAGCAGAGGACAAAGTCAATCATTTTTCAAGGAAGCATACCTCCATTTTTCTGCTCTTGTGAACACGCATAAAACTGGACGCTGACTTATCAATCAGAAACTTAAAAAGGCCATTAGTAGTGAACCTATTGACTCAAAGCGCCTCACCTGTTTTGTAAATACGGGTTATCTCCTTGATTTCGGCATTGGAACGAGACGAGAGGATTTCTATCAGACAGGCTTCGTCAGTTCCAGCGCCCTGCGGGGATCATGCGGCGCATTACAATCGCATCCCGCAGCTTTGTCGGTGCACAATCTTCCAGTCTTATCATGAATCATTATTCAAACGGACTTATTAAATATATACTGTGGGCAGAGCTTTTGGTGCAAATGTTTACCTTGATGGCACTATGGATCTCAGAGGCGTCAAACTGAGCCGGGCTCTTCAATGTGGCCATGACCAGCTTCCTAAAGTCGCCCGACAGTTCAGAGTGGAGGTCCTTAATCAGATCCTGAAAATAGAGCTCGGCTTGTAATAACTGAAAACCTTTTTATCAATTAGTTGAGCTATGAAAAACAAACTACAATGAGCTCTGAGTGTTTGTCCTGCGGCCCACTTTCCATTTTGCTGGCGGCACCTGTCGTCTGCTTGTCAGCGCAGGCTAAGCTACGCTTGACTCTCGATATGGAGAACGCTGTTTAAACGCCGAGACTATTTTAACAACTGTGAAGTTTCTCATTATAGAACCGGGCAATCGTGTGTGAGCCCGCTAACGGAGAGCGTTAAGAATACGCATGGACGGCGGGGATGGTTTACCTTCCCATAGGAGGTTTTGTAGGCACGGAGCAAAGGAACACGCTGCTTGTTGGAACGACTCCCCAGCAAGTCGATGATGGCCTGTTCATCAGTTCCTGCACACACATAAAATGCCAACTGGTCCTTGAAATCACATACCCGGTATGAATGAATAAATAAACACATTTAAGCAATGATAATACACATTCATGCTCATTTAATCTAAAACACAAAGTAAGTCTATAAAAGAATAGCACCCGCTTTATATTGCTTGTAAAAGTGGGGGACAGAGTCCGCCTGGAAATCTTATGCCAGTCAGTCAGTAGAAGAGCTGTGATAGATGTGGGACGATGCCTATGTGTAAGGGAATTGTAGACAGGAATGAACATTTTAGACACTTAGGGGCTTTATTTTTTTAGATAGCGCACATGCGCTCTGCGTATTTTGTTTCCCGAGTTGTGTTAAATGCACACGTGATAGAATATCAGATCAAGGCTCCTTTTCGCTTTTCAATTTCTACGCAAAAAACGGGAGATGTCTCGTTCAGTAAATGGAGCCCGCATCGCTGCCTTGTAGCGAGCGAAGAAGGGACGGCATTTCCACACATGAAAGTCTGTAGGACAGCGTCAACTGCTTTCAACAAAAGAGGGCTTATAATCTCAGTGTCGCTTATAAACAGGTGGCATCCCAATTCTGTTATGACACTGTTTGCATAGTCAAATACCAGCAAAATTACTGAGCGTGGGTATGACCGGGACAAAGCAGCCCCACTAATCCAGGAGAAACAAGGCTGGAAATGAAGAATTGTCAGTTGCTCACCAAAGCCCTTCATGGCCTTCCTCAGGACCTCCACATCTTTGAGAGGGTCTGCTCCAGGAAAGTCCTTGATCGTCCCTCTGAACCCTTTCTGCAATCACACAAATCCACCAAAAATCATATTTATCCAATTTGACGGTAAACTGCCTTTCAACTCAATTGGTTCTTACTTTAACAGGCGGGGCCATTGGCATGGCTCCGCCTCCATAAGCTTGCATCGATGGATTTGGAGATGGGACCTTCGGGTACCCTGGCATAGGTGCAGGTGCTGCTCCGTAACCGGTCGGGTTGGGAGATGGTGCACGAGGGTAGCCGGGCATAGGCTGGCCTGGGTAGCCCATCGCCGGGCCTTGAGGCATGGCTCCTCCTGGCTGCGGGTACAGGCCATATGACTGTTGGTTAGGGAAAGGGGCACCGTACCCGCCTGGTGCATAGACAGGCGGGTATCCCCCGGGGGCGTGGGCGTACATGGAGGGGTTTGTCAAAAAACACCCTACTCCTTGGCACATCTGGCTGGCCTGTAATTTGGAAAAATGGGCATTCCGTAATACGGGCAAACTTCCAACTTTTTCGAGTGCATTGAATTGTGTTTTGATGATACGCAACACTATTTAAAACATGAAAATGCTTAATGACACAAGTATCTAAGGAAACTGTGGCTATGCTATGCAGTGAAATGGAAATTCTGACATCACAAATGATACAAACGGGACAAAGAATGAGAAAAGAGAAAGGATGGCACAAAACGGGCAAGCTTGAGAGGCGTGGCAGCTTTAATGTCTTAAACTGTTTTTCTTCTCATGCAAGAAAGCAAGAAAGATAAGCTGACTGATAAAAAAGCAAGGCTAAGTTGTTGTTTTTTTTTTTTAAAGGATAATGACTTCAAGAACTGACTTACCATCCAGTGAAAAGACGACATAGCCCAGTAACGGATGTGAAATTCATTGTAACTGCAATACTCAACGCAATCATCTTGATCATGGCGCATTATTACGTACATTGCAAAACAATTTTCCAGATGTAGGAGCATTTTTTCATAAAGTCAACCTACCATGCCCGCATTGTATCCCGGGTTGGTGAGGTTGTCCACACCTATGGAGGGATATCCGCCAGCAGGCCCGCCTCCCCAGCTGCCTGCGGCGCAAAACAAACAAGAGAAGGTTTTTTTTTTTGGAAATGTGAAAAAAAAATCGTCCAGGATACTTAAAAAAAAAAAAAAAAAAAAAAAAAAGTTCCGAATGCTAGCCTTACCTGGTGGAGGTGCTGGTGGGTATCCTCCGGCCTGGTGTGGAAAACCTCCGGCTTGGGGTGGATAACCTCCGGCCTGGGGTGGGTAACCTCCCGCTTGGGGTGGGTAACCGCCAGCCTGCGGTGGGTAGCCGCCCGCCTGGGGTGGGTAACCGCCTGCCTGAGGTGGGTAGCCACCAGGTTGTGGTGGATATCCGCCAGCCTGAGGAGGGTAGGTGCCAGGCTGAGGAGGGTAGGCCCCTGCTTGAGGTGGGTAAGCACCAGGTTGTGGTGGGTATCCACCAGCTTGAGGAGGGTAGCCAGGGTAACTCATGGCTTCTAAGACAAAAGAGAAAACAGTTAGTGCATTAAAGGGATGTAATATTATACTGTATAACGTTCTTCATGTTTCGGGTATCTGGTCCATATTTCAGTTTCTACATTTCAATGCTACAAACCGAATTCCAATGAAGTTGGCGCATAAATAAAAACAGAATACTTTGCTAATCATGTTCAACTTTTATTTAACTGAATACACCACAAAGACAAGATATTTAATGTTCAAACTGATAAACTTGATTGTTTTTTAGCAAATAATCATTAACTTAGAATTTTATGGCTGCAACACATTTCAAAAAAGCTGGTACAGTGTCATGTTTACCCCTGTCTTACATCACCTTTTATTTTAACAACCTTCAACAAATGTTTGGGAACTGAGGACACCAATTGTTGGAGCTCTGTAGGTGGAATTCTTGCTCATTTTTGCTTGATGTACAGTGTCTGCTGTTCAACAGTCTGGGGTTTCTGTTGTTGTATTTTACGATTTAAAATATGCCACAGATTTTCAATTGGAGACATGTCTGGACTGCAGGCAGGCTAGTCGAATTTTCGCACTCTTTTACTACACATTTCGCAGGTCCTTAGTTTGTTACCTGCTTTACATATTATCACTTATTAAGGTAGAGTGTCTTGCTGTTTTTACAGTAAGCCCTCATCGTTTAAGAGTGTTTGATTTAATGTTTTCAGATGATGGTTCCTTCTACACTTTTAAGTCACTCAAGAATGTTAGAATAACACTTCAGAAATAGCCCGTGCAGTTAAATCAGTTTATTATGGAGGCAGTTTACTCTGCAATGGATTTCCTCATTGGGAAAAATTGTTTCCAAATGTGAATAAATTGGGGGTCGGGCAGCATCATGGAACAGAAACTTCCGAATTTGCACTATATTGCAACTCCACCAGTTCTCAGACCAAACATTGGAAAGGAACACAAAAAAACAAAAGCTCACTGAACTCAACCTGCCTTGGATACACTTTGAAAAATGTGTAAATATGCTTTTCTTCGAAGACCAGAAAGCAATAATTTCTTCTCAGACAAAAGGTGTGCAAGGTGGATTTTTTTTCAGAATAGAACAGCGAGTAAGGTCCAACCACTTGACCAACATATGGCCCTATTTCAAATATGTCCAGAAAAAAAATATATATTAACACTAGCTGCTATATCATAAAAGGAGATTTTATTAAAAGTCATACATAAACTGGTGCAAGTCATTCACACAACAGATAAAGTAGTATACATTCACTGACAACTCATGACAATACTTCCCAAAAATATATTTCAATTTCCTCTTTAAAGCTTCTCCAAGGGTAGGAATCGAAATGCCAAATACACGACTAGCAAGACAGGATTAAGGGAGGGACATTATTCTCCTGTAGGCATTTTGTATCCTTCACTCATTTTAAGTCGTGGGGGATTATTGGAGGGTTTCATTTTATGCATTTACCTTCCTTGAAAAATACACAACCCTTTCAGGGACAACGGTTACGACAGTGGAGGGCTGTTATCAGGTTACAGGGTGCATGAAAGGGTTAAACTCATGTGCCAGTAAATGGTATGCTTGTTCTATGTATGACCTCAGTGGATTTAAGGGCACCGTTCAAGTCTTTTTTTAAATTTGAACATGTATAAAAAACACGTTGGAAGTCCATTTAAATGTGCATGTGTCTTAATGAAAAGTACCTTTGTGAAATACACCGTTTTAACCATTGAAAAAAAAAAGATACTTTCACAAACCCTCTCTAACAGTAAGCTGTTCCAAATCATACATACTTGCCAGACCATAACTCTATCATAGCGCATAAAAAAAACGGCGGTGCCTTATACCTTAACAAAGTACAACGTGTACCGTCTTTATTTGATCTTCCCATTTTATTGTAGTCACGATGAGCGAGTCAACAAAGAGACAAAAGCTGTTAAAGACACAGCAGCTACAAAGACCAACAATTTACAATTTACTGTACTGTACTGTATTGCACTGTAGCTTAGCTTTGCTGAGGTTTATCTGACTTCAAGCTTAGACGGGCCAGTCCAACTGTGCCTCGCGCTAAAACAAATCACTATAATGTGGCCTAATTATACCCTAACTGCATAATTGGACGCCTGTAAAGAAGGCAATGGAGAAAAAAAATGTGCCCATACTCGGTTTAGCCGTACAATGTTTAAGTCGAGCTAAAGATAAACATGCAGGGGCCGACCGAAGAAGCGAGGGAGGGGCAAAAAAGAAAAAAAAAAGAGTAAGGTTACACCACGAAACGCTTCCCGAAATAATCGCTATGTCTCCACAGATAACTTGTCTAGAAGCATTTCAAAGCCATTGTCCTTAAAAGAAGCGTATTTACGGGGAATTGGGAACTTACTTGGGCCTGTTCAACTTCTTCCTGGTGTAAGCGGGCTGCTGGTGAACGACGTCTGAGGTTTTCCGTGGGTGGGTCACTCAAGAGTTTCCATCTTGAAGGGAGGACCCGCCCACCGATGCGTGTGTCACACTTGTGCTGCCTGTCACGTTGCTGTCATAACATGACAACGCCAAATAAAGTAAACGACACATTTTTTCCACTCATATGTAAATGACAACGTGACTGATGCAAAGTACGACCCGTAGTTGCGCATAATGTTCCATGACGTGATTTTTTTTTTTTTTACACGGATGCTATGCGTATTCTCTGACCATATTCGCCCATTTAAAATAACCCAGATTTCGAAACGACTCAAATTAAATTTGCTTACGCCGTAAAAGACGAAAATTGTTTATGCTAAAAACAAAATTATATACTTTTCAAAATAAAAAAAAGTGTTGTTTCTTATTATTTTTAGTGGATAATGTATATGGTTTTATGATAATGTTTCGTGTTATGTGGTGCAAAAAAAAAAAAAAAAGTACCGGTCTGTAGTGTATATACTTCAATGATTATTAAATACGCCACATGAGGGAGCCGTTTTGAAGGCTATCACGTCTGGTGGCCTTGCCTGCCCTGCCATCTGCAGGCTGATTCATTGGGTGGTAAGTAAATGAAGTCAACTTTAAGTCAACAAGCTACCTCATTTGTCATTTTGTTTAATCCATCGAAATTTGGGGGTGTATTCTGACGTAAAGATTGGAAAAAAAAACGTCACCGGTAGTAGTCATGAAATCTAACTTGAAAGACCATCACACTATTTCTTCTGTCACTTCTTTAAAACAAAACACAAGTACATTTGGTGTTAATGCTGGCTGGCTAGTGTGATAAATTAATTTAGTGGTGGTAGAGGGTTCTAGGAACAAATTTGGCCGACAAGGGATTTGGGTTCAAACAACGTTCATGAATATTCACACAGACAAGCGCTGATTGGCCAGCGTCCTCGATGACTCCCCGCCGTCCTCATTTAATATTCAAAGGAGCTCTCTCAGCCCCGCTGCAATAAAGGGCGATAGCGGACCATGGGGAGCAGGGGGAAACTTTTTATACTGACATATTAGCGCTATGACTTTTGACTAAGACTTAACTGGGGCCAGGCTCCGGGCGTGAGGAGCGTACAAGGGCTCTTTTTTTTCGGAATCAAAAAGGACCACTCGACATCTCGCCCCGAGGAAAAAAGCCACCAAGAAACGAGTTCCATTGAAAGTATCTGCGGTGGCAAGTCGAGTTCAGCCCTTTGGATTGAAGATGAGCTTATTGTCTGCCATAGACACGAGTGCCTCCGTGTACCAGCCTGCGCAACTCCTCAACTGGGTCTATCTCTCCTTGCAAGACCCCCACCACCAGACCAGCGCCTTTGACGCCTTCAGACCCGAACCCAACTCTTCCCACCCGGATCTCAACTTCAGCAAGAGTCCCGCCTCGGCCGACTTGAGCTCTTCCCTCAACTCCAACTATCTCAACAACTTCTTTCAACTGCAGCGCAATGAGGTGACATTTATGTGTAACAGTCTTTTTTTTTTTTTTTTTTTTTGGGAGTGAGTGTGTTTCAAGTAACCCAGCTGGAGGCATGCCTGTGCAGGGAATGTTTTGTGCACGGACAGCCCGGACTATTCTGGTAGGATACACCCGCTGTGATCATTTTATATGGACCATGACTTCAGCAACCCTTATGGGGGTGTTGTGATGAAGTTTTAGCAACATTATACAACGACAAGTAGAATTTCTATTATAACTCAGTCATCCTCATGCTAGAAAGTCCATCCCGAAAATAACCTATAGCCTTTTGACTCTTGATATGGAGCCTGTAAAAATGATGATTTTGCAATGCATACTTCAGATTTTGTTCATGTGTGTGTGACAAGGTCAAGCAAAGTCAGGGGCGTGGAATCAAAAGGCCATACTAAAATTGATGCAAAAATGATACAAAGATGGGACCAAGTCTCAAGTAGGTCCAAGTTTCAAACGGGAAACAGATTGCAATGAATTTGGTCCCACTAAGACTGCGACACAACTCAAACCTGTTGCTGGCCATTTGCACAAATAACACAGAGAAATGAGACTTGGCCCGAAATGACTTGCATGAGGCTAAATGAATTTGGACTAGTTTTAGACATAGAGAGGTCATCTGAGCAGTCCACATTCGTCTTTTTTTTTTACCTCTTCAAATAGACACGGCCGTGCAAACAAAATCAACCCGTGTTTGCATATTGTCTATTTTTGAAGCGCTGTGTAATTTTAGGGACAAACATGCTGTTAATGTATGCCGGGCGCAAACCTGACACTACAAACTGTGCACATTGCAAACACAGCACTTCATCTAAGGCGCACTCCCTGCTTATATTCCTAGTGTGTTTATTACACTGCAGTTTTAAGACTCAAAGTCGATGTGCTCGTGTTCTTTATTATGGTAATAGCCATCGACGTCACTTAACATGAAACAGTCCTCGGAAGAATGGGTGTGCACACAATGCATTACACGCAATAGTGTAATACAATTCAATCCACATGAGAATAATGTGTTTCAAAGTGAGAGAGCGTGCATACGGGCTGGAAACAGTTTAGGGGCACCGGGGATTTTGCAACTTTCTATGCCGACGATGCCAAGCTAAATAAACCACCGCAGAGATTTGATGATGAGATGAGTAATGCAGTTGTTTTCAAGACACGAAAGTGCAAAAGTCCGAACTAGTATCGGCGTGGTGTCGATAGATCGGGTTTTTTTTCCCCACCAAAAAAGCTAAGTTCTAATTTAAAAAGACGTATCCTTATGCAATATATCGTGACAGTCTTTCGATTTTTGTTTCCAAGGTACATTAACCCTAACCTCTCGTTGTTTCCTTTGTAACTTCCTGCAGTTTTATGCTAGCTCAGGTCACCCCAGCAGGCAGAACAGCTCCGGTTTTAAAACAACAGAGCGTGATTGCCCCCTGATGTGCCGACACCACAATCCTAAATCTGGGAAAACGAATGCTTCTCTTGCTTGGTTGCGCAGGACATCGTTTCCTAGCTTTTGTAGCACCCGATGTACACATTCATCACCCCAAAAAAAAAACTTTAAATGAAACTGTGCGAGATCCGCTCAACTCTTTCACTTCATGCTGACTCACCTCACAGTTTCACCCCATCTTTGTATGAAATCACTCTGCTTTGGTCTGCCAGCTGGAGAGCGAAAACCAAAAATGAAGTTTTGTGTTTTCTCAAAGTAGCACCACAACAACTGCACTAAATGAACACACAAACAAGTGTGTGTGTGCGTGTGGCAACGCATAACGCAGTAATACCCGGGGTTGAAAGGCATGGCAGATGGAAAACCTGAGAATGGACAGGACTGTGATGCTTGATTTACAATGACAAGATGTAATAAATGAACACAGCCTTAAAGCTGGATCTGGTTCGAGAGTCCACGGCAAACAGTCTGTAGATATATAGATCTGGCATGGAAGCGCGGACAGGTTGCCAAGTTTTAGGTTTCTGTGCAATGCAACATTAAACAGCAACATTATTTCCCAGACACTGGGCCGGATCCCAAAAAATTCTTAACCCTCTGTGATGAGGATGAATTTATCTGTGGATCCCATCAAGCTCACTCACTGGGGCCTTTGCTTTCATGTGGCTTTGCAAGTATTTGTCATTGCAGCAGTTAAAGGATTAATCATTTCATGCCAGATGTCGAGTTTGTTGGTGAGACCGTGGACATTTGATAAGACCCAAGTCCAAGCATTCATTATTTTGTCATTTTGTTACATTTCATCAAAGTCCAAAGTGTTATGGTGTAAGTCAGACCCGAACGATTTCTGGCGAAGTTTTGAGCAAATCCGAAAGTTTCAAAAAGCAGTCAAATGATTACATCTGTCTAAGTTTCAAAGGAGTCTTTTTTGTTCGAGATTGAAGACAGTCTTAGACCTCTCGTCCGACTTTTAAACAGGCCCACAATTTTCCCCATTTAGTCTCAAGATGGTCCCGTTACAACTCCAGTATATGAGCAACTGGCTGAATCAAGGCCCAACTCGGCTTGTTTCTGGCTTCATGCAGTAACTTGAGGTCTGTGCCAACCTTAGACAACCTGCATTACTTGACTCAGGAGATCACATGAATTTTGACTTGTTTTGGATTATTTACCACTTGGTCAAAATGACTTTCTGAAGACATGACCAAGATGACTGACTCGAAGTTCACTTGAAAAATGCACAGAAGACTTGCTTGAGACATGGATGAAGATGATTGAGGCGCAACAGACCCAAGACATGAACCAAATTACCATATTTTCCGCACTATAAGGCGCACCTAAAAGCATTCGATTTTCTCAAAAGCCAATTGTGCACCTTATAATCCGATCTACCGTATATCTGGATCAATATTCTAATTTCTTGGATGTAGTATTTTAAATATTCTGTGAAGCACTTTGTTATAGCTGCAGCGGTTGTGAAAGCGCTGCATAAATAAAGCTGTATTGTATTGTATTCCCTTTAGCAAAGCTCCATCTAGTGGATACATAATGCTACCCCAGCCACTATTGTAGCTTCTATTCTATGCTCCTTATATATGAAAGCAGTTTTAAAATAGGCCATTCATTGAAGGTGCACCTTACACTCCGAAGCGCCTTATAGTGTGGAAAATAGGGTAATCAAGATTTTTCCTAGACTGGACTCAATTTAAGACTGGCTTGAAACTCGGTCTTACCCAATACGGACATGACGTTCCAATGGATCCATCTGTAATCGCGACTGACGTTCATAAGGTAAAAGAGTATGAGCTCTATATAAAAACAAATTAAATTTGTAACTTTAGTCATCAACTGTCGCTTTAAATTTCCCAAGTTCCCTGATGTGCTTTGGGTCATAAGTGGCAAGGGGTGGGCGAGTCGAGGACAGTTTTGGAAGAGTGACGTTCACATGATCCAAAGGGCTTTTCTTTCGAACAGAGGAAGGGAAATGAAGCTCAGTGGGCCGCTTTCGTCCTGCTATTAATATTCAGATGGCATTTTCAGTGTCGCAGCTGGTTCAGCGGCATGCTTCTCTGCGTTCTGCGACAACACAAACTGACCGCCGCTTGTTTACCGCCAGCAGCTTCTGGTGACATTGCTGATGTTCCGCAGGCTGGCGAAGGAACATGCCTTCCATCTTGTTTACAATGACTCATCCTCTGTAAAGTCCTGTTCTTCTCCTCAGCGAACCTGCTTAGTACTTTTCCAACTCGTGAGCACAGCTGGGACTCTCGCCAGATGTTCTGAATTTAATGAGAGAAAAGATCTGGGGTCTTTTCTTTTTTTTTTCCTCATTTTTGTTTTTGTCCGGCAGAAATTGGAGAGAACACAAGCAAAGGAAATTGCTTATTAAACGCAGAATTTTCCAATGTGCAAGAGACAAATACATTGCTTTTTTTGTATGATGTTGTATGCACTGCATAGTACTTAAAGTTTAGGGTCATATTCAGCCGATCTCTTGGTCCTCTTTTAGCTGGACAAACTAAGTCAAAATGATTATTTCATATTTCTGTGTCTTTATGAACATGTCAGAACTAACTTCAGATGGCGGTCTCACTTGTGTTGACTTCAGTTAAGTGAAAAGGTTGCTTAGCTTGTGAAATGCGAACGAAAGAGCTCCGGGTTCACTTTTCGTAAAATGGACCAGAAAGTGCAATGAACTTGCAATCCAAACAGTACATGCACAGTTTTGTACAGATTGATATGTTTTCTAAAGACACGTTTGGTAAAAAGGCAAAGCAGCCTGTGTGCAGACTAGAGACGGTTTCCAAACTTACGAATGGATTCACATCTAAGATGATGAACTTCGGGTCTCTTGGACCAGCTGGGATTGATACAATACTTGGTACTGTGAACACCAGGGTCTAACCTCAGATATGTTTTCTATTCCATAGGCCTTAAACAACAACGTGTACAAGAATGTATCGCCGTACGGCTCCCTGAACAACATCGTGGATGGGCTCAACTCGCTGACGGATCACTTCTCAGACCTTTCCCTGTCATCAGAGCCAAGAAAGCCTAACAAGAGACCGCCGCCCAATTATTTGTGCCACCTGTGCTTCAACAAGGGTCATTACATCAAAGACTGCCCTCAGGTGAGGCGCCGTTTATTACATAACCCGCGAACAGAAAGATCAGCATGACACGATCGGTACGTGTTATTGTTCCCGTAAAATGACTTAGGTGGTGTTTTGCTTTAATTATCCTCCTGTTGATACACGTCTTTTAATTTGTTTCATATGAAAAGCGGACTTGGCCGCAGCCTCTCTCTGGCTCTCTCCCTCATTGCTGCCACTCTCTATCTCTGCTCTGACCTACTTGTAAAACAGGCTGGCCTCTGTCTTTGGAAGTCATGTGTGCAAGTGCGTGTGTGTGTGTGTGCGTGTGTATGTGTGCATGTGTGTGTCTTCGTGCGCTCGCCTTCCTCTTGACTACGATGCGTTCAACCAGCCGCTAGGAATCATCCGTCATAAGCGCCGCAGTAAACAAATCAAGCTCGTTCAAGGGTTAAGTTGTGTTTCGCTGCATGGATTCATCATTTACGAGCTCTAAACATGAACAGCTGTCCCTTCGGATTTTGCCAAATGGATTTTCTGTATCTGCTCCGTTCTGCATGCTCATCTCTGATTCATTCTTACATAAAGCTTCTTTCTTTGCCCCCGGCCCCAGCTTTTTGTCATGACCCCAAAGATGACTTCTTTTCATCAGCACTCATCCATCAAGGCTTATCAAAACGAATGTAATCATAAGCTTTCGATTGGCAATTCCCTAAACCAGAGAGCAGCTTTGTTTCACATTGTGACGTAACTCTGCAGTCCCACGAGAAGAAACAAAATCATCTTCCCCACCTGCGTCCCTTCAAATAATAATAAAGGAGACGACCCTAGGATGACATAACACAGCATTACGATTAAAGGAGACGCTACGCATTCTCCCCCACAATTTAAAACAGTTCTCGGGTGCCCTAATGAGACGTTTGTAGACGCGTAGGTAATCCTTTCTCTGTTACAAAGCTTGATCTTTGATCCTCTCTCAAGGCGATTTGATGTAGAGTGGGCTTCAGGGGTCTCAAAGATGTCTTAGATTAATGGCTTTGGGAATCGGAACGAGGTCATTGTTGACAAAAAGAAAGGTGTATGCTTCACCGTATTTTGTCCTGATCTTGGAGGTCATGTCGTGTTTACTTGCACTTATTTATCAAAATGTCTGATGACTGCAGATGGTGCAAATAAAGTGAAGCCCGTGGTTGCTGCCTGTTCATTGAGCCGAGGGACGGCGACTATGTCGGGGACGTGATTTTGTCAAAATACCCAGATGATCAAGAATTATATCACATATTTTTTGCCTCCTTTTTGGAACATTGCAGAAATCGTCTTAGTTTGAAGTGGCGGACTGCTCAAACGCAGAGAAGCCTTAAAGCACGGGTGTCAAACTCAAGGCCCGGGGGCCCGATCTGGCCCACCACATCATTTTATGTGGCCCACGAAAGCAAATCAAACTTTCATGCTGCTTACTAAAATCTATACCAAAATGTCAAATTCCCATTTGTAATAAATAAGAGTGATAGTGTAAGCATTTTCTTGTTACCAAACCCCTCATTACAGTAACTTCAACAATCGGTGAATACACTGTTATTCTTGACTTCTTTATATGGTTTCAGCCAAAACGGCCCTCCAAAGGACACTAGAATTAAAATCTGGCCCGGGACAAAAATGAGTTTGACACCCCTGCCTTGGTTTCCAAACTTACGAATGGATTCACATCTAAGATGATGAACTTCGGGTCTCTTGGACCAGCTGGGATTGATACAATACTTGGTACTGTGAACACCAGGGTCTAACCTCAGATATGTTTTCTATTCCATAGGCCTTAAACAACAACGTGTACAAGAATGTATCGCCGTACGGCTCCCTGAACAACATCGTGGATGGGCTCAACTCGCTGACGGATCACTTCTCAGACCTTTCCCTGTCATCAGAGCCAAGAAAGCCTAACAAGAGACCGCCGCCCAATTATTTGTGCCACCTGTGCTTCAACAAGGGTCATTACATCAAAGACTGCCCTCAGGTGAGGCGCCGTTTATTACATAACCCGCGAACAGAAAGATCAGCATGACACGATCGGTACGTGTTATTGTTCCCGTAAAATGACTTAGGTGGTGTTTTGCTTTAATTATCCTCCTGTTGATACACGTCTTTTAATTTGTTTCATATGAAAAGCGGACTTGGCCGCAGCCTCTCTCTGGCTCTCTCCCTCATTGCTGCCACTCTCTATCTCTGCTCTGACCTACTTGTAAAACAGGCTGGCCTCTGTCTTTGGAAGTCATGTGTGCAAGTGCGTGTGTGTGTGTGTGCGTGTGTATGTGTGCATGTGTGTGTCTTCGTGCGCTCGCCTTCCTCTTGACTACGATGCGTTCAACCAGCCGCTAGGAATCATCCGTCATAAGCGCCGCAGTAAACAAATCAAGCTCGTTCAAGGGTTAAGTTGTGTTTCGCTGCATGGATTCATCATTTACGAGCTCTAAACATGAACAGCTGTCCCTTCGGATTTTGCCAAATGGATTTTCTGTATCTGCTCCGTTCTGCATGCTCATCTCTGATTCATTCTTACATAAAGCTTCTTTCTTTGCCCCCGGCCCCAGCTTTTTGTCATGACCCCAAAGATGACTTCTTTTCATCAGCACTCATCCATCAAGGCTTATCAAAACGAATGTAATCATAAGCTTTCGATTGGCAATTCCCTAAACCAGAGAGCAGCTTTGTTTCACATTGTGACGTAACTCTGCAGTCCCACGAGAAGAAACAAAATCATCTTCCCCACCTGCGTCCCTTCAAATAATAATAAAGGAGACGACCCTAGGATGACATAACACAGCATTACGATTAAAGGAGACGCTACGCATTCTCCCCCACAATTTAAAACAGTTCTCGGGTGCCCTAATGAGACGTTTGTAGACGCGTAGGTAATCCTTTCTCTGTTACAAAGCTTGATCTTTGATCCTCTCTCAAGGCGATTTGATGTAGAGTGGGCTTCAGGGGTCTCAAAGATGTCTTAGATTAATGGCTTTGGGAATCGGAACGAGGTCATTGTTGACAAAAAGAAAGGTGTATGCTTCACCGTATTTTGTCCTGATCTTGGAGGTCATGTCGTGTTTACTTGCACTTATTTATCAAAATGTCTGATGACTGCAGATGGTGCAAATAAAGTGAAGCCCGTGGTTGCTGCCTGTTCATTGAGCCGAGGGACGGCGACTATGTCGGGGACGTGATTTTGTCAAAATACCCAGATGATCAAGAATTATATCACATATTTTTTGCCTCCTTTTTGGAACATTGCAGAAATCGTCTTAGTTTGAAGTGGCGGACTGCTCAAACGCAGAGAAGCCTTAAAGCACGGGTGTCAAACTCAAGGCCCGGGGGCCCGATCTGGCCCACCACATCATTTTATGTGGCCCACGAAAGCAAATCAAACTTTCATGCTGCTTACTAAAATCTATACCAAAATGTCAAATTCCCATTTGTAATAAATAAGAGTGATAGTGTAAGCATTTTCTTGTTACCAAACCCCTCATTACAGTAACTTCAACAATCGGTGAATACACTGTTATTCTTGACTTCTTTATATGGTTTCAGCCAAAACGGCCCTCCAAAGGACACTAGAATTAAAATCTGGCCCGGGACAAAAATGAGTTTGACACCCCTGCCTTAAAGTGAACGTGGTTGTACAGTGTTGCCAATTTAGCAACAGTGACACAATAGTTTGTTCTTCGCTTTCCAAAAATTGACAAGCCGCAAATCTACCTCCCTTTTTGTGGTGTTGTTGGAAACCTTTCAAAAATCCCTCACAATTGTGCTCAGAGCAGAATATATTGAGCCCTGTGAACACAAAGACAAGAAAATCTTTACAGCTTTTCGCAAAAACACAATTTCATGAATAGGTAGTTAGCTCACTAAAGATTTATCTGGTAGTGATAAGCAGCTTGGATGTAATTTCACACTCGATGTGCGAGCAGGCACACCGGAGCAATTAAAAAAAAAACCAATGGAAGTTATTGGCTTGAGTTTTGTGATGGTGCAGGGATTTTGCTGGACTACTTCGTCATATGAAAATGCATTTTCGGAATTCCAAAAAAAAAAAAAAAAAATGCTTCTCTAAGTCAGAAAAATGTGTGTCAAATAAAAAGAACGTAGCGTATCTCAAAATTTTGGGGAGTGATTTATTTTATTTTGTAGATGCGGCGCATGTCTTTCCTTCTTGAGCGACAAGAGAAACTTCAAATGCAATAATTTCCTTTCAGGCATATCGAGATGAGCTTTGCAGATGTTGCAGGTGTCCTATGGCGACCTGTAAAGCCAAAGTCCATGGTGAGGACTGAAGCCTAATAATGATCTGATTTCATTGGACTTTAGTATAAAATAGTATAAAAATAATATTACACTCTCGCCAGACTCCTGGTTCCTTCATTTTCTCGCCATTCTTATTCCTCTCCCATTGCCTGGGTTGAGGCGCAATGGCCAATCCCGGTGCTCTGTTTCTTTTGCATGGAAGAGTAACGAGGAGCAGATGTGAGATTAAAATGCCTTGACTGGCTTTATGACATATGATGGCCGGTCTCGGGAGGTCCTTAAAAGACCTGCGCGCTGATGAAATATCTTGCGCACAAAGCCAAAGTCCAATGTGTGGGAATTAGATCATCTATTGACCACTCGAATGGGGATTTGGCCAGAAGTATATCATGCAATAAGTTACATTCGCCTCCATTTTGGCAGAAGTAATGCTGAGCCGTGACCATTTATCAAACGACTGTAATGCTCATAATTGGAGCAAGTGTTCACAAAGTAATACATAATCGACTACGTTTGTTATCTTTTCCATATCTCTTTCAAGCCCGTTCTGAAAACCACATGATGTCTAACTTTACAGCGTGTCCTCTTAAAATGATACATTGGAAATGCTGTTTTAAGTAAGCCCCGACAATGTCAGTAAAAATCCTTGGACTCAACCTTGCCAAAGATGTCAGCATTCCAAGGTCAAACTCAAAATCAAGACTCCTTCTGGTTTTTGTTTCAGCTGTTGTTAAACTGCCAGCAGTAATTCAAAATGCCGCAAAGTCTCCAAACGGCGTCCACACCTACACACTTCATCAACATCCTGATTCTTTAGCGCTCTCCTGGGCCTCCTGTCCGTGACTTTACCTTCCAATTGTGCTATATCACTTATACTATTACCTGCCCGTCATTAGTGGTGCCGTCTCTCGACCCCCAGTAATGTGTGTGACATACCTATTGCGATGTCCGGCCGACCGATTTTGCGACACTTGGATTTTGATGTGATCCCTATTTCTTATGTTTTGGGACGGTACGTCCAACTTGTCATTAGGATTGAATTCCATGCAAATGCACTAACTGCCCAGTTGCTGCTCACTGACTGAATAAGGTCATTCTTCTCACAAAACACTTTCTTTTTTTTGTTTTGGGTCATGACTTGATTTGATTGTGCATTGGCGTTTGGATATCTCTTCCACTGCTTGGCTCTGAGTGCAAGGCAATTAAATAGCTGTGGCCACCGAGGTATTTATGTGTGACTGAAATTGTTCGATTTTTATGTTTTATTTTTTTTTTGTAATAGCATGTTAACACTGGAACCACTCATGGAGGAGTGGAGACAATGGTTCTTGATAGTCAAGGGAAAACCACAAGCCTGGCAGTCCGCCGCTCCCCTTCGTCACGGGGACAGAGGTGTTATGTAAACTGGCTTTTATTCGGAAAATGAGGTCGCTCCCCCAGTCATGAGCAGAATGCCCCTCAGCCGCCACTGCCC